CTAGAAGGCAGTTTGGTATTTCCTCAGAAAGCTGAACATAGAAATTCCTGTCTATTCCACTGTTGGAATATACCCCTAGAAAATGAGAACTGAGGCACAAATGGTTTCTTGTTCACCAGTGTTAATAGCAGCTTTAGTCATCATTGCAAGAGCATGGAAACAGCCCAAATGTCAACCAGAATTGAATAAACTGAGAAATTATGGTACACTCACCTGATGGAATACCGTGTAGCACACAGGAGCAATGATTTTTTTAAATTACTACTTCAGTTGGGAGGGTCTGGAGAGTATTATGCTAAGTGAACTAACCCAGTCTCATAAGGACAAATACTGTATAAGACCATTATTGTAAAAATAGATAACTTGTAAAACATGTATGAGGATCCCAGGGAGAGGGAGAAGGGGGAATGGATGGGGTCACATAGTTTGATTAGTGGAGGGGGTATAGGTTGGGGAGGTAGGGGGGATCTGATGTGAGTGGCAATGTATACAAACTTTGTAGCTAAGCCAGTGTACATTAAAAAAAATTGCATGAAATTAAAAAATAAAAACAAATTAAAAAAAAAACACTAAAAAATAAAAAAATAGTAGCCAGAAGAGTATGATGGCAAGGAAAATAGAAGGACTCAGAGAGACCAGTCTCCAAGGTTATCCATCTGCCTAGCTAATATTTCTCGATTGTCTTTTAACTTTTTAAAATTAATTTTAATGAGTTATCTGGGAGTCATGTTCAAATGCAGATGCTGGAACAGAGGAGTAAGACTAGAGGTCTTCTAATCTTCATCTTTCTGTACTGTTCAGACAACTGCAACTCATAGCAATTCTATATGATGGAGTAAAACTACCCCACAAGGTTTCCTAACCTATAATCTTTACCAAAAGAAAAAAAAAGAGCACAAATCAGTGTTTTTTCTTCCACAGAGCTTAGTGAGTATATTTCACCTCTGATTTTTTACTTAGTGGCCTTATGCTTAATCATTAAGCCACCAGGATGCCTAGACAAACTCCTCAACTGTTGGGACTCAATAGGACAGAGTGGAATTGTCCCCAAGGGTTTCAAGATTATAATGTTTGTACAAGGCTCTGTACCAAAAAGAATTGGTGTTTTGTCATTTCAGGAGGTAGCATATGATCAAAAGTCAATGGTAATGAAAAAGGAAGTCTTAACTTCACTGACGGCATTGGTGAAAAAGGTCTTCCGGAATTGACAGAATATCCATTGAGATGTTTCTACAAACAAATAAAGCAAATGCTGGAGGTGCTCATTTATCAATACCAAGAAACATGGAAGACAGTTATCTGGCCAAACTATACAAAAGCCATAATTGTGCCCATTCCAAAGAAAAGTGATACAACAGAATATGGAAATTATTGAACGATATCACTATCGTCATGGAGCCCTGATGGAATAGTGTGTAACAAACAGAACAGGCAGCTATTCAAAACATAAGCCGTTTAAGTCTATCAGCCACTCCTTGGAACAAAAGATGGGTCACTAAGTTAATATTAATTCAACAGCAGTGGGCATCATTGACATCACATGCAAGCAAAACCTTGCTAAAAATAATTTCAAAATGCTTACAGCAGGATATAATCAGGAAACATACAACTTTCTACATTTACAGATGTGGTACAGAGTAGGAAAGTCCTGGAAACATCCTTCAAACTTGGAGCTAAATCCTTCCTGGGGATCATCTTTCACCTAAATCCCAATGAAAAGTTCAAAGATGGAGAGGGAAAGTCAAGAGAGTCCAGAGCTTTTTCTTTCCTCCTGGAAAGAAGGAAGAACACAAGACTCTGCCATTTATTCCTGCAGATTGTTTTGCTTCTCAAGGATTCAGAATAGCTGCACTCTCTCCTCAGGCCAATGGAATTCAATACATGTGAATCTAGACACAAAGTAATGCTGTTATGTTGTATGTCCTCGAGTCAGAATAGACTTATTTCAGAGGCAAAATGATGGGCAAGCTCCTCCTTTGCAATTTACTGCTTCTGAAAATCCAGTAGAGGGTCAGTTATCCCATTGTGTTCCAACTCAATGGTACACACAACAACATATGACATTATATGGTTTAGAACAGTATCATTAATTTCACATGCAAGCAAGAGTCTGCTGAAGATTATCCAAAAACGACTGGAACAGCACATCAGCAGAGAACTGCCAGAAGTCCAGGCTGGGTTTAAAAGGGGTCGTGGTACTAGGGACATTTTAGCTGACGTTAGATGGATCTTAGCTGAAAGCAGGGAATACCAGAGGAATGTCTATCTGTGATTCATTGATTATGCAAAGGCGTTTGACTGTGTGGATCATAACAAACTGTGGCTGACTCTGAGAAAAGTGGAAATCCCAGAACACTTGATCGTGCTAATGTGAAACCTTTACTTGGACCAAGAGGCAGTGGTCAGAACAGAGCAAGGAAACACTATATGGATCAAAATTGGGAAGGGTGTACGCCAGGGATGCATCCTGTCTCCATACCTTTTCAACCTGTATGCAAAACAAATTATCCGGGAGGCTGGGCTCTATGAGGAGAATAGTGGCATTAGGATCGGTGGAAGATCCATCAATAATCTGCGTTATGCCGATAACACAACCCTGCTTGCAGAAACTTAGGAGGATCTGAAGCACTTGCTGCAGAGGGTCAAGGACTGCGGCCTTCAATATGGATTGAGGCTCAGTATACAGAAGACTAAGATTCTCACCACTGGACCAATTGGCAGCATCAGGATGGATGGTGAAGAGATTGAGATTGTACACAGCTTTAGTTTGCTTGGCTCCACAGTCAACACTCTTGGCACCAGCAGCCATGAAAAAAAAAAAAAAAAAAAAAAAAAAAAAAAAAAGATGTATTGTGATGGGAAAGTCTGCCAATAATGAATCACAAAACAAAACAAACAAACAAAAAAAAAAAGATGTATTGTGATGGGAAAGTCTGCCAATAATGAATCACAAAACAAAACAAACAAACAAAAAAAAAAAGATGTATTGTGATGGGAAAGTCTGCTGTTAGGGACCTTTCCAAAGTACTGAAAAGCAAAGGTGTCACCTGGAAACTAAGGTACACCTGATACAGGTCATGGCCTTTGCAATCACTTGCTATGTGTTAGAGAGCTGGATAATGATGAGGGAGGACAGAAGGAGAATCAATGCTCTTGAGCTGAGGTGCTGGAGAAGAGTGTCGAATATACCATGGACTGGCAAGAAAATGAACAATTTCAGCCTGGAGAGAGTTAAACCAGGCTGCTCCTTGGAGGCAAGGATTTTGAAGCTTTGTCTGACATACATTGAACATATTGCAAGGAGGGTCCAGTTCTTGAAGAGGGACATCTTGCTTAGTAGGATAGAGGGACAGCTCAGGAGAGAAAGACCCTCTACGAGATGGATTGATTTAGTGACTGGGGTAATCGAGGTGAGTGTGTTGGAGACAGTGAGATTGGGACAGGACAGAGCAAGGTTTAGGGATGTTGTACATAGGGTCGCTATTAGTCTCAAGCGACTCTACGGCACTTAACGATGACAACAGCATATGACATGAGAGTTGTCCTGTCTTCTCAGAAGCAAACAGTTTGAATCCACCAATTGCTCTATGGAAGAAAGATGGGTAATATCATCTCAGTGTGATTTACAACTACTGGAAGAATAACCATGATCCAATTCTGACATAACAACAACTATGGTATGGGAAAACATTTTTCCACCTTTCTCCCATGAAGCAGCTGGTGGATTTTAACTGCTTGCCTTTAGGTTGGCAGGACAACTGCTTACCCACTAGGCCACCAGAGGTCCCTACAAAGCAGTATTACTCTTGCTATTGTTGTGTTCCATAAACTCCACCACAATTCACAGTGACTATGAACAACAAATCTGAAACTTACCTTTATCCTGTGCCCTCATCATCGTCTCTGATACCCTTGAGTCCATTTTTACAGTCATTGTGTCAATCCATCTGGTTATGGTGCATCTTTTCTTTCACTATCTTCCCAATCATGATGTCTTTATCCAAGGACTGGCCCCTCCTAACAAAAAAGTATGCCTAAAGTATGTGACACAGAGTTTTACCATCCTTGCCTTGAAGGAGCACGCCAGTTGTAATTTCTCCTAGGCATATTTGTTTGTTCTTTTGACAGTCCATGAGCATTCAGTAACCTTTTCCAACATCACAACTGGAAGGCCTCAAGTATTCTTCTGCCATCCTTATTCATTGTATGACTTTCAGATGCATAGGAAGTAATTGAAAAGACCAGGACTTGGATCAGGTGCACCTTAGTCTTTAAACTGACATTGTTACTCTCTAGTACTTTTGCACTGAGAGGACCTTCACAGCAGAGAGAAGGAAACATAGCTGAAGGGCTCTGGGGGTTCTAACATGATGCATTTGATGGCATCATGATGATCCCTTACAACGTTTCCTACGTCTTCTTGCCAAATCTTTGAGCTGTGGAAACTATAATTGTCTCTGAATCATGCCCAACCTGAACATCAATGAATGTTGGAAGTAAGTAGAAATATTGAGAAAATGCTAAAAACACAGCTGATGGATGAGAGCTAGGGGTTTGCTCCTAATTTTTCACAGACACTTAAAATGTTCTTGATGTTTCTTTCCACTTTGTTCCTTGGGTGAGGGTGATTGATCTCATGAGAAGAATCTGGAGTGGTAGTGCAATCTCAGCTGAGGACAGGAAGTCTCATCCTTTATTACCTTTGACTGAAACCACTGGTTGAGGGCCTTGAGGTGGGCGTGCTCAGAGTTTAGCTGCCGAAATCTGCATACTTCCTGACTGACTGAAGTCTCCTGCCAGAGCCTCAGGGCTAGGGTGGTGAGTGCCACTGGGAGGAGTAACCAAGTTTCACTTCCTCAGCCGTAGGAGACTCACAGCTACAGTAGGGTTGTCTGTCAGTGAAGAGCGAGGGAGGCCTGTGTGCGGAGCCCCAGAGCCCAAGGCTCTCTGTGTCTGCTCCATTCGCACCTGGCAGGGTTCTGTGGATGCAAGAGTGTGAGGAGCGCGAATGGGCAGAGCAGAAACACCAGAAGGGAAGATGAGTGGCCAGGATCCCTCAGACCTGTGGGGCGGATTGGATGGAGACGCCGAGCTGCTCCAAGACTTGGGGTAAGACTTGTGGGGTTAAGAATTGCTGTCTTAACACACCCACTTTGCAAAGTGCATCTGCTACAAACATCCATCTCCTCATCGCCTAAACTCTTGCTTCAATTACACAGTCTGGTTTTTCCTGCCTCTTTGACCTTCAATTTCTCCTCTTTTCTGGTTTATGCCTGTGAGTTATTTACCTGTTTGAGACTAATTACATCATAAAAACAGATAGTTTTTCCAGATGTGATAACAAGCAAGTTGGGGGTGTGGGGTGGCGGGAGAACAGAATAAAAATTGTTGAACACTGTTTGAGAATAGGGGCAGATCTGGGATGTCTGTGTGTCGATATTGTCTTATTTACCCATTGTTCTGATGAATAAATAATCTTTGATGGCCGCACAGTAGAGACTGAGTGGAATATATTGCGGGTTTAAGAAACAGTTTACTGTACTGTAAGCCAGAGGGACTTTTTCAAAGAAGAGAGAATGAGGAAGTGTAACAATCTCTTAAATATTTTTCTCCCAACAGTGCATTTGTGAATTCTTGGGTATATCTGTGTCTATAGGGGCAACTGGGAGTCTTTCAAATATACACAATCCAAGAAGAGAATACATTAGTTCAAAACAAACCGCCCTGCCTCGTACGGATTATAAAGGTTGTTGTTGGTGTACCATATAGTCCGAATCGAAACATAGCCTCTAGCTGGTTTTCATAGACTATAAATTGCATGGCGGAGCAGTTGGTGCACAGCTGGCCCTCCGGTGAGTTGTCATAGGCTGTGAAGTGCATGGTCCAGCAACTGGTGAATTTGAACCGTTTGTCTTAAGGTTAGCAGCGAAACTCCTTTAACCGCTAGGCCGCCAGAACTCCCTTTATAAGTAGAGTAGGTGCAGTCTATTTACTTGGAGACGGGAGTGGGGCCTGGGGCAGTTCTGCTCTGGTGGCCTAGTCTCTAAAGAATTTCGCTGCTAACCCAAAGTTAGTGCCTCTCTCCTCCATTGTAGCTTAACAGCTTCAGAAAACCTAAAGAGAGTCAGCTATGAATAGGTTAAAACAATGACTTTCTGAGTTGAGCTGGAACCATCAAGTCCTATCTTTAAAAGGGAACCAGGTGAAACAAACAAAAAAAAATGAGAAGTCTATATTCTGAATTAGTTAATAACGTATTTACTGACTAAAAGCAAAATGGGACCCAGGTGAGACAATTTATCAAAAAGAATTTATTACACATAATATTTACTGACTAAAAGCAAAAAGGGACCCAGGTGAGACAATTTATCAAAAAGAATTTATTACGAGAAGCAAATACTACACAAGAGTAGGGGATTTCCTAGAGAAACTGAACTAGTTTGAAATACAGGGAATGTTCTAAGTTGGTTTTGACACTTGTAATTCAGGAAAGATAAAACCTGACCCTTTTGTCTTGATTCATAGCTCTAAAGAATCCCAACTCAAATGACACAGAAGCGCTAATAATCTTACTCTTACAAATATACATAATCCAAGCCACAGAGCTGAACAACTTGTCCTGCATCAAATTGCAGAGCAGCATTCCAACCTGCTAAGGCCTCTTAACATTTGCTCTTGTTAGGAACCACTGAATGGACTACAAGTCATAGTGACCCTATGAAGAACAAATATGAACCTCGCCATAACCTTTGCCATCCTCAAAATTTCTGATATACTTGAAAGATGCATGGAATCTCTTTGTATTAAGGCCGCAGATATTGCATGTTTCTGCATTGTGTTAGGTAAAAGTTCTCCATAATTTCTGTCTTTGGATTTAGTAATTGAACTGTACCTTGAAATGGTAAAGCAGGTAGAATTTTTCAATAAAATAAAAGAACTAGTTTCTCCTAACCTAATTCTGTCTCCTGGTGACCCCTGTATGTCAGAGTAGAACTATATTAAATCTGGTTTTCAATGTCTGGGAGCCTTTGGAAGTAGAGCACCAAGTTTTCTTTTTGAGGCACGTTTGTGTGGATCCCAAACTCCAACCTTTCATTTAGCACCTGAATGTGTTAACTCTGCACCACCCAGGATCTCCTGCTATAAAGCAATCTCCCCTCACTGGGCAATTGGAGTTCTTGGTTCTCTTTGTCTTTGTTAGATTTAGTCTCCAAACTGAAGACGTGAGAGCCCTGAGCACCCAAAACAGGTGCCACAAAGTCTAGACAGTGAATCCAGATGAAAGTACTCAGAGACTAACTGAATCATTAACCTATATTTCTTCTGTGTTTGATCATCTGCATTCGCATGGGTGAGAAAAGTCCCTTGGCAGCAAAACTCTTAGTGTAAATGAAGCTTTTACTTTGAACCGTTGACCTATTGGTGATAATCTGTGCCAAAACTTCTGATTAATTCAGTTAAAAAAAAAAAACCAAACAACACAACTCAGTAAAGGCAAAATTCATGTAATTCGCCAGTGACTTCGTTGTTAAAATTATGGTTTTAATAATTTTTTTTACCTGCACACTCTTGGTAGATATAAACAAGTAAGTTAGTGGTTGAATTTAAATGATATCATAATTTTCCCTTTGTTCTTTGATCCCTAATATCTTTCTTGGAATACATATTTTGTTATAATAGAGCTCTAATTACAGTAAATCTATCATTTGCCTTTCTAAGACGTTTACCAAGTTGCTCAGAGCACAAATTTTTTTCTGAAGCAACTCACCAGCCATTTCCATGGCTCATTTATAAATTGTCAGTTTGAAAAACACCTATTTTCTTTCATTGTAAATGTATCCATGTTCTTTAGTAGTTCAGTGGCTAAAAGCAAAGCAGAAATAAGACAATTTTAAATTGCTGTGAGCTTTAGTTACACTTTGGCAATGTAGGATTTAGGAGAGAAGGTGGGAAGTGAGGACAATGGTGAGGGGCAAAGGGGTGTGGAGAAAAATAGGTGAGAAGCAAGACTTGGAGGAACAGTGGTCACACGATTGCTTTCAGAATAAAGAGACAGAGAAATAAAACAAATTTTTTGACCCTAGAGACATCACCTAAGTGTTAAGCTGGCATTGATTTCCTAGCTAATTAATAATTTTCAATCTCAGCATGTATTCACCTATAGTAAACATTCCTGTAAGATAACTATTTAACTCTAAACACAAAAATGAGAATACTTTCAGATTCTTTCAGGTAAATATTGAAATTACACAGTCAGGCTCGTTCGTATAAGATTCGTAAGGAATCCTATATTTGCTTTGTTGTATATATTTTTCCTCAAACTCAAACATTATCTTAAAAAAAAGAAAGAAGAAGAAAAAGAAACAAAGCTCTTGACTATGTTAACCAGAGTCAAGAAACTGGATTTAAAACAATAAAGGTCTTTTATTCACTACTCCTTAATCTTCACAGAAGATAAACTAGGGGTCAGCAGATTAGTTCTAAAAGAGCCCTAAGAAAAGTTCAGGCTTGTGTGTGATCTCTCTCACTCACATCTGCCAATGTCATGTGAAAGATGGGAAAGGCAACAAAGAAACAAATCAGCCCTCCTGTGTTCAAGGACAAAAACAATTCATGGGTCTCAAAATGTGAGTTATCATTTTCATGAGTTCCAAATTTCCCTTCTTTATCCAATAGCTGAAAAGGAAGTAAAACCTTTCTTGACTTGCAGTAGGCATACATACACATGGCAAGAAAGTGTTGGCCCTCAGATTGTGCTTTGCTGACTACCACAATAAGCCCCTATCATGAAGAAGGGATTTTGCATATATGATAAAATCTGTAACTGCCAGAAACCTGTCTGGGAGAAGGCAAATATTTTCTACTAAAAAAAGCAGCAGAAAAGTGGTAAGGTTGCACAGTGACAGAAGTGGAAAGCTTATGAGACCTAGAAAAGCAAGGTGGTGCCATTAAATGTCCGCACTAACTTTCCACCTTTAATGATGAGAAGAGTTTGGAGGAGTGCAGTTGCCAGCTGACTAAAACCCCACAGCATTTGAGTCCAAAACCCATTCTCATTCCATCAAACCTGTTTGTCTCCCTGATGGTAACTATTCTTTGACCACCTACACACAGCAGAACCTTGCCATTCACATGCATTCCATCACTGAACCTTCACAGCAATACCTTAAATCCAATTATTATTAGGCTCATTTAGAAAATGCAAAATAAGTTAAATGCCCAAGTCTCAGACCTGGTAAGTGTTGGAGCAGAGAACCACATCTTGTTGTTGTTATGTGCCATTGAATCTACTACCACTCATAGTGACGATATGCACAACAGCTCCGAAACCTGCTCTATCCTGAGCATGTCTTACTGTCCCTGACACACTTACCCTCATTTCCCCAGTTATTATATCAATCTATCTCATCCAGAGTCTTCCTCTCCTGTGCTGTCCCTCAACCCTTCCAAGCATGATATCCCTCTCCAAAGACTGGTCAGTCCCTCCTGGCCACAGTATGTGAGACAGTCTCAAAATCCTTGCTTCCAAGGACCAGCTTGGTTTCACCCTTCCCTTGATAGACCTGTTAGTCACATCTAGACCTGATTAATTCAAACACTGGTGCTCTTTCCCTGTGTGATGCTGCCTTCCAGAACTCGCCAAACTCATCATGTTCTAATAATGGCAGAGAGTAATGCTGAGTGGGTGCTTACTGTGATCCAGACACTATTTTAATCCCTTTGCATGTTTGAACGTATTTTATTCATACAGCATCACTGTGAAGTAGGTGCTGTCATCCATATTTATAGATGATAAAACAGAGGGACAGAGTTGTTACCATATGATTATAGTACTCTGAACATTAAGCCTAAGAGTTTTGCTCAAAGCTGTGTATGTATACTGAAACTTTTAACTACTACTAATTTTCATCTAAACTCTTTTTTTTCTTGGGGTGCCTAGGTAATACAGTTGATGTCTCAGACTGCTAATAGAAAGGTTGGTATTTCAAATGCACCCAGAATCCCCTGTGGAGAAAGGCCTGGCTGTCTATCCATTTCTGAAAACTCAGTCACAGAAAACTTTAGGAGTGCCGTTCCACACACTTGAGGTCACAGGATCAACTTGATAG